GGGGGGGGGGGGTCAGGACCCCTCTGACCCCCTCTAAATCCGCCACTGATTTGTACTTCATCTCCCAGAGAGCCAGTCTCTAGTAGAGAGTAGAAGAGGAGATACGTTTTACTTTGATGCAAATGCGAACCCGAACATTCAGCATTTTTTCTTCTGTAAGATTATTAAATTATGTATTGCCCGCTTATCACATGTTCGTTTGGTGAATGTAAAAAGCACAAAGGACGACTTCTATTATCAACTTGGGGCATATCTGGTAGAGGGTAGGGCGTATCATTAGTTTCCAGAGAGAGAGAGAGAGAGAGAGAGAGAGAGAAAGAGAGAGAATAAAATAAAAAAAATTAAATTAAATTCCGCAGCATTTATTCACAATTTGAACAGATTGAAACAAAGCAAAAAATGCGATAGTCAATTTTTTCTTGTCGTGTGCGTGTGTTTGCTAGATAGCTTTATGATTGTGTCTGTATACAAGTGGAGTTAAACACGAATCGTGTCGCAGGGTGCTGCTCCACAGTAACGTGTCACTTTGTTTGAAAACCCCACTGGTTATTATTATATTATATAACACCGCCTTAAACGATAATGAAAATAATAACAAACAGATAAAATATACCCAGTATATGTCTTATTTCGAGAGTTAAAAGTAATTTAAAAGTTCATTTCTGATTAATTCATAATGTGCCAAACAATCAAAAGTTTTTGTATCTTGTGCACGAAAAATCCCAGTGATGTCGCGAAGATGCTGCAGTAAAGTCCCACATGTATTTTTGTCATCCTTAATTGCATGGTCCGTCGTCTCCAATTCTGAAATATTTGGGGTTTTATATAAGATTGTGTTAAACAGTTGTTTTGTTGGCACTTTATGCATAATTACTAACTTACTAAAGGTTAAGCCCTTGCATAAACATGCTACAGAAGTATTGGTATGACGAAAAAAAAAACACCTATGAACATAACTGTATAGGTAAATTTCAAAATTAAAAAATGACGCTGAAAATCAATATATTATTGTAATTGCATATGAACATAAATGCATTAAGAAAGTGAAAATAACACTTGACCGAAGACAAATACCTCTAGGCTCTATCCCTTGGGCAAATAGGGCAAGAGTAGAGGTTGCCATTTAGGTGTTTTTGTGAGATCGGTTTCATCGTTATTAGCAGTTCCATTGTAATCACCGCATATTCCCTTCATGTTCTCGCAATAATCTGGATGTATCTTGACAACTACGGTGCGGAGGCGAACAAACACGGAGACCTTGATATTCGCAGCAATAGTGCAGTGAGCTGCCAAATAAGTCCTCGGTTCGTCGCTACCGGGAAGCTCGGGGAAGCTTTCCGAGACCACCTCTACTTGAGGGTTTCCTGAAGAAATTGTTCCGGTTGCGCCAGGAGGCAGTTTATTTTCCCACCAAGGAGGGTACATTACAGGATCGCCATCGATCTGCAATGGCAGTATAGAAATATTAGAGACCATTCCCACAGATATTTGGACCGATCTATCTCTGTCACGCCTAGTAAAGCTGTTAATGGGTAATTATCTTTCCCTTAGCTTATTCGGTAGGCGTGACAGACATTTAAGCCTCTTGAGCTGATAGCAATTCAGCGTGAACCCCCCAGGGAGTTAGGTCGATCCAGATGGATCGATCTAAGTATGGGAACCCAGTCTTAGGGTGTATTCCCAGAGATTTAGATCGATCCAGGGATTAAGATTTAGATCGACCTAACTCCCTGGGGGTTCACGCTAAATTGCAGTCAGCCGAGCGCGCACCATAGTTAATTACCCCCTTACAACTTTCAGTAGGCGGGACAGACGCTTAAGCCGGCTAAGCTGACAGTAATCTAGTGAGACTCCCCACAGGGATAGATCGATCTAAAATCTTTGGAAATGGGGTGTTAGAGAAGTGCATGTTTTATGAATGGGCTCATGTTGGGAGGGTAGGGTGCAGGACAGATTTAGTTCTCTCGGTGTTCTAAGGGCCCCTTTACACTGGACGGCGTCCTTTCTGCGTCCAGCAGTCCGGCCCCATTTGAGAGTTTAAAAATTATAATATTTTACGTGCCGACAACTGGCTGATCATTGAGCATTCATTCTGATAAAAAATTAATGCTCGTGCCTCCTTATTAAGACCACAGCGATGCCAAATTTCATGGTCGCAGAAAGGACGCAGAAAGGACGCCGTCCAGTGTAAAGGGGGTATGACTACTCATGAACAGTTAACATTTCTTATTGTGGCAATCAACTCTTCTTTCTAACAAATTTAGATGAATGAAAGTGCTGCTGTAAACTTACCCTCTACCAGGGCTGCAGTTATTATTCTGTGGACATTTTCGCTCACAGTACGCCTACAGATATTAGCCATCTATTTAACCAGAGACATCTGTGAATATCTAGTGAAAAATTGGCCCTGTGGCCCTGGTTGAGGGAACTGTAAACGTCTGTTTGATTACTATGCCCCAAACTTACTTTCATCCGCTTTTACAGAAAGTATATTCTTTAACTTCACAGTAAGAGAGTTGCCATGGTTCTTTTGGTTCTTTTCTCTACGCCAAATATAATTTTAATTATAAAAAATTAAAAAATCTTTAAATTTTATTTAACTTTCCCCCATTTTTACTCTGGTACCTTGGTGTTAATTCAGATATGGTACACTTACCACGCTCACAGGCTACTTAGACCGCATTCGAAATAACTTGATCCGTAGAATAACAGTTCCGAGGACTAAATATGGCAGACCCACTTAAAAGCAATGCTGTTAATCCCCTGATGGCCCCCGCCTCCACAGGGGCCGTCGCTGCAGGGGCCTAGCAATTAAACCTCGGAGCCGAGATTTAATCCGTTTGATGGCACACGTGGAGGCGGGGAGACCATCAGGGGATTTAGGCGATGTGCTTTTA